AGTGGAGCACGTCTTTAATGCCAGCACTCCTGAGGCAGAGGCAGAGGCAGGCAGAGTTCTGTGAGTTCAAGGCCAGCCTGGTCTACAGTGAGTTCTGGGCCAGCCAGGGCTACATAGTAAGACTGTCTCAAACAAACAAAACTCACCACGAAAGATTCTATCTTGTGGCTGAGCTGAGGCAGATTATGGGCAAGAGATGAAGCCCTTGATGTTGCCTTGGAGCCTCTTGTAGTGTGGGCACCTGGACTGTGGCTCCCCAGGACTCCTAAATTGTGGGTATGTGAGGGGTTCTCACATCTGTGACTGTCAGGTGTGTAACTGGGAAGATTCCTAATAGTATGTTTGACAACAGTAATCATGTCAGTTTTGGACTGAGACCTTATATTTGCAGGCCTGAGTCCTATGTAGAAGTTAACTGAGGGGAACCTTCAACAACTTTGTGTGATGGGTATTATTTGTTTTATAGGTGAGGAAACTGAGACACAAAGTGAAAGTAGCTGGAATCTAGGTATCCCATGGTCAGCACAGGGCCTGAGGCATGGTCAGCCTGTCTCTCTTGCCTACCTTGGAGGAAATGAGGGGAGGCTGGCAGTGTAGGCCAGGGTCAGTGCTGCCATATGTGTCTGTGCTCAGGGGCCTGTGTGTGTGTTCAGTTTATGTAGCTCTTAGCAAAAAGTACACAGTACATGTTTGCTACATGGATGGATGGATGGAGGAATGAAAGAAGAAACAAATGCTTATGCAGACTGTGGGATGGGGGCAGCTGGTCAGTGCGGAGCCAGATCACATGGTTTTGTACCATGTTTGGCCCTGGGATCTGTGCTCCTCATCAGCATCTCGGGGGCCTCATTGTCTATGGCAAAGCTGAGGATGGATGCCCTAATAGAAAAGGAATTAGGGTCCAGGAAAGACCAGTGTACCAGCAGGCAGTGCTTCCTCTGAAGCACTGACACCTTCTAGGAAGAAAGGCCCAGCCTAGACCCAGAAGCTGTGCATGGTGGTGACCACCTCTATTCTAGCACTTGGGATGCTGAGGCAGGAGGATCACGAGTTCAAGGCCAGCCTAGATTTAAAAAAATAAGGGGTTCAGGCCATCCTCACCAAGTGTGAGTCCCCTCCTGCCTGTGCCAGGTCTGCATGCCCTATGCTTCCCACTTCTTGTGCTTAGATGGGCAAGAGGTAGTCCAGAAGGCAGGTAGGTCCCCTTTTGGAAGTTTATGTTCAGAACTGGGAGATGCCAACCACCCGCCTTCTGTCCCACCCATAGGAGTATGAACAGGCCTCCAAGGTGGACCAGTTTGTCACTCGCTTCCTGTTGCGGGAGACAGTGAATCAGCTACAAGCCCTGCAGAACTCACTGGAGGGGGCATCAGACACCCTGGAGGCCCAGGCCCGTGGCCCACGGTATGTGAAGGTGCTGCCAGCTTGCAGGTCCAGTGTGTGTACATTGTCCCTCCATTCCAAACACCTCAGTGTCATCATGGCCTACCATTCTAGCATCCTGGAGGCCTCATTCTTGAGCCTGGAGGCCGTGAGCTGGTGAGAAGGGGTGGATAGCTTTGGGGCTGGGCTAAGTCCCAGGACTGTCTTGTATCACCCAGGCCTAGTCCTTTGTTGGAACTCCAGTCCTTGACCCTGTGAGTCTGGGGACAGTGAACCGTTCTGCTTCCTAGGTTGGATGAAGAGAATATGGATGTGCGAAGTAGGTCCCATGGCAGCCGGCTGGCAGGGCGCAGGGCTCTGAGGAACATCAGTTGGTCACCTACCTGGTCTTCTGGATCCTCTGACATAGGTGTGCCTGTGGTGGGGTAGGATCTGGCTACATAGGGTCCAAGGGAGATGTGGCATCTCTCAGGGTCTGCTGTGCCACTGTTCCCAGTTCACTCTGAGAGGCTTCCCAGCTTCGGGGGCCTATGGATGATGCCCTCCTGGTCCTCCCATCAGGGAGGAGTTCAGAAGCTGAGCTGCAGTGGCGGCTGCAGGTCAACCGTCTCCAGGAGCTCATAGACCAGCTTGAGTGCAAGGTAAGCAGCAGGGTGGCCAATGCCACTTGGGGAGGACGTCTGTGGCACCTGTACAAGCTAATATGGGCTAGGCTCGGCCTACATTCTCTGTCCCTGACAGGCCCCCCAGCTGGAACCCCTTCATGAAGAAGACCTTACCAAAGGTCCTGACTCGGTGAGCCTGCAGAGGGACAGGTGGCTGGGTGTCAGGGGCTAGGGCATTCATGAAGCAAAGGGCTTGTGGGATAGCTGTCCATCCACCCTTTCTACAGACCTAGCATGCAGGCTCTGGGTTCTGGTTCTTGCTCTGTGAGCCTCTTAGGGTTTCGATTCTCTCATCTGTATTTCTGAAAGCCAGGCTGAGGCAGGGGATGGAAGCTGGAGGGGACAGTGGGAGGTGGTGTCTTACTGAAGCAGAGAGGGACGATGGCTGGATTAAAGCAGTGACCTTAGAGGATGGAATCAGGGATGCTGAGGGGACTTCTTGATGACAGGAACCTGACCCAACAGAGGGAACAGATCTGAAATATGTCAGGAAGTGTAGAGTTGTACTCTGGGCCTGGCTTGCCACAGTGACTGCCTGTTCTCTTGTCAGCACATCCTTGTGGCCCAGAGGCAGGTGCAAGTGGCAGAGGACACCCTGCAGGACTTCCACCGTGCCCTGTGCTGCTACATGGACTTCACAGGGGCCCAGAGCCATTGTCTGTAGTAAGTCCCTGGCTAGATGGTTGGGATGGCTGAGGTGGGGCACATGTGAGTAAGGAGGGGTGCCTGGCAAGAAGGCTTTGGTGGTCACAGCCCTGGCCTGGTCTACCTCTTTGGCTCCGCAGTGTGTCTGCCCAGAAGATGCTTGACAATGCTTCCTTCACCCTATATGAGTTCTGGCAGGACGAAGCCTCCTGGAGAAGGTATGAGTATCATTCTAACAGCTGACATTGACTATGGGTTATGGAGGGGGGTCAGACCAGGTTCAAGTTCTACTCTCCTACTAACTGGCTGTGTGACCAGATGACTTACCTAACATCTAGTAACCTTCCAAAATGGGAGTGATAACAGTCCAACATCCTGTGGGCTAAATGAGATTATGTGTGAAGAATGAATGTAGGTCAGATTGGGTGCATGCCTGTCATCTCAAGAGGCAAGAGGACTGAGAGTTCAGGACCAGCCTGGGCTATTTACACAGCAAATTCAGCAAAGCCTGGTTTCAAACAATAAGACAGCAAACAAACAAAAAAAAACCATACAAGGTGGCCAAGGTGGCACAAGCCTATAATCCCAGCACTTGGGAAGCAGAGGCAGGATGATCAAAGGTTCAAGGCCAGCCTGGGCTATGCAGAAAGGCCCTGTCTTAAAAACATGAAACGGGCTGGAGAAATGGCTCAGAGGTTAAGAGCACTGACTGCTCTTGCAGAGGACCTGGGTAGGATTCTCAGAACCCCATGGCGGCTAACAGCCATCCTTAACTCTAGTTCTACGGGATCTGATGCCCTCTTCTGACCTCTGTTGGCATTGTACAACATGGGTGCACCTACCTACATGCAGGTAATACACTCATACACATAAAATAAAAATAATAAATAAAACATAAAAAGCCGGGCGTGGTGGTACACACCTTTAATCCCAGCACTTGGGAGGCAGAGGCAGGTGGATCTCTGTGAGTCCAAGGCCAGCCTGGTCTACATAGTGAGTTACAGGCCAACTCAGGCTACAGGGAGACCCTGTCTCAAAAAGACCAAAAATTAAAAAAAACAAAAAACAAAAAACCTAAAAAACATGAAACTAAAAAAATTCAGTACAATCCCAGGTACACAGTAGGCACTCAACAAATGCACATATTTATCAATGTGTGCCCTCTAGGCCAGTTCTCATTTGAAAGAGGGGGAAGACTGAGGCTAGAGCCAGTAGAGGAAGTCATGGTACCTGAGTCCAGGCAACAAGACTGAGGTTGGGTGACCCTGATTTTAGAGTAGATGGCTACAGCCTCTGTCTACTCCATGGCCTTCCCAGGCACCAGCAGTCACCCTACAGCAAGGCCTTCCAGCGCATCCTTATTGATCACCTGCAGGCCCCGGACACCCTCACCACTGTGTTTTTCCCAGGTGTGCTTTACCCTGTTATCCCTACAACCCTGGGGACCCAGGAGGGGCAGGGGCCCCCAATAACTCCTGACCCCAACCTCTCACCCACAGCCTCCTGGTGGATTATGAATAACAACTGAGCCTGGTCTGCTTAAGCTGAGGACCCTGAAGCCCTGCCTATCATTCTAGAGCCTTCTGTACTGGTCAGCTCTACACTAAGACGAAAGACCCTGCCTACACCCAGAGCGGGGTCCTGGCCAACTGGTGGAGGGTCTCTCAGCCCAGGGATCAGGGACTGGGCTTGCTTTATTTTACTGTTTGCAGCTTCTGGGCATCTAGGCTTCTGCCTGATTCAGGAGGCCCAGATTCTGGTCCCCCCTCTCTCTCTGCCTTGCTATGTGATCCAGGCAGGTCTTTTCCCTCTCTGGCTGCCTAGAGGTGGCCTGCTTTCTTCTTGCTGTCTTGGGGCCAGCTTCTGCTCTTCCCCCAACCAGTGGCAGAACAAGGGCAGATGCTCAGGGACCCCATCCAACACTTGGACCCTCTATCTGAGGCTGGGCCAGATCAGTCTGCAGAGTGGGGTAGAGACCTAGATCTTCATCATCCCTCTGGGCCAGCTCTAGAATTTCCAGCACCAGTGGCTGTGCCAGAGACCTCTGGAGGATCCTGGGTTGGTCTGTATGTCATTTGCATATCATTTGCATGCTGTCACCCCACCCATTCTCAGGGTACTATGGGAAGCCCCAAGATGACCTTGCAAAGTAGCAATAATTTGGGCCTAGAGTTGCCTGCTGCCCCAGAGATCTCTGAACCCCAGCCTGGAACAATAGCACAGAGGCAATAAAGTTGGTGGTCACTTGTGGTGGTCTCTCTCTCCCTCTCTCTCTCTCTTCTTCCCTCCCTCCCTCTCTCTCTCTCTGGATGGCCAGGGAGTGGCAAGGCCAGGTGGTACAGTCCTGGCCACTGACAGGAAACTCAAGGCAGGAATCCATTGTTTAGAGCTCCAGTTGGTTCTTCACTGCAGCAACCACACCTGCAGAAAGGAAGCTTCACCACCACTTCCTCAGCTCAGGGCTCCACCTCTGACCCTGGTTTTATAGTCCTGCCTGGGAAAGAGGAGAGACATGGCCCATGCACAGTTTCATGCCACACAGCCTTCTCAGGGTTTCAGAGCTTGGCTTGATCAGGGATTTGATCCAAAATAGAACCTCCAGGTTGGACATGTCACCACCACCATCAGCTAACGGTATATCCAGGAGTCCTACCAGTCACAAGGGGTAGGGGACCCTGGAGGATGGGACTCTGAGGTGACCAAAAGGGACACCTAAAGGAGTACTTTAAAGGGACATGTGGTACACAAGAGCACAAGATGGATATGATCTGGTCTCAGTGGCAGGGGTTGTGACAGCTTGTCCCACGAACCAAGGGAAACCAAGCAGGCAGGACACCAAGACCAGGAGGGAAGAAGGCTGGGGTGCCCATGGGGAGACAGGGCCCTGAAAGAGCTTCATTCTGGAAGCTGCAGTAGGTTTTAAGCCATGGCTGGTGGGCAAGTGATATTTCACCAATGTGCCTGTATGTCTGGCTGTGGTAGGTCCTTGCTAGGTGCTGGCCAGAAAAGCAACTCTGATGACGCCAACTCAGGGACTACCCTGGCTTCTCCCAGTGGCCCCTGCAGGAGGTAGTTTCTCTTATTGGCCTGGATGCCTTGGAGCTGGTTCCAGGTTACTTAGCCTTCCCTGCCCCGAACCCCGTAGACTCCAGAATGTGCTTGCTGCACACACTGGTTTCAGTGTCTCCTTAGAGAAGAAGCCGATCCAGAGGGAGATGAGCTTGCTCTAGATCCTGCACTGCAATTCCACAAAAACAACGCTAATGACAGACTCTCAAAACTTAAAAGGGGGCGGGCTGTGGTAGCATGTATGCTTGCCATGCGCAAGGCCCAGGACTCCATGTAAGAACAAAATCAAAGGGGCTGGGGAGATGGCTCAGTGGGGAAGAGCACTTGATGTTCTTTCAGAGGACTGGAGTTCACTACCCAGCCCCAACCAGGTGGCTCACAACTGTAACTCTGGTTCTAGGGGATCTGACAACCTCTTCTGGCTTCTGCTGGCACCTGCAGCTATGTGGCACACGCTCAGTCACACATACATGTAAATATATTTTTTTAATCTTAAAAATAAGAGCAAAAACAGGGACTGGAGAGATGGCTTAGTGGTTAGGAACACTGTTCTTGCAGAAGACCCAGGTTCAAATCCCAACATCTACATGGCAGCTAACAACTGTAACTCCAGTTCCAGGGGATCTGACAGTCTCTTCTGACCTCTGAGGCATTGCATGACATGGGTGCACTCACCTACATGCAGGCAACACATGGATACACATTAAAAAACAAACAAACAAATAAACAAAAACCAAGCCAGGTGTGGTGGTGCACGCCTTTAATCCCAGCATTTGGGAGGCAGAGGCAGGTGGATCTCAGTGAGTTCAAGGCCAGCCTGGTCTACATAGTGAGTTCCAGGACAGCTAAGGCTACAGGGAGACCCTGTCTCAAAAAGAAAAAAAAATAAAAAAAAATAAAACAAAACCTAAAACTACCCCCTCCCAGGTATGTAGCTGCATGTGCACAAGTATGGAGGCCCGAGAACCACCTCAGATGATGTTCCTTAGATGGTTTTTGTTTTTTTTTTTAAAAAGGACAAGGTCCCTTACTGACTTGGAACTCGCTAAATAGGTTTATTGGCTGGCCAGCAAGTCCCAGAGATCCACTTCTCTCCATTTTTCCACAGCAGAGAGTGGTACCACCCTGGGCTTAAAAACCTGAGTTCTGGGGGTTGAATTCTGGTCTCTTCAAACACCTTACTGAGCTATCTCACTAGCCCCTTTTGTTTTTAAGAAAAGATCTTACTTGCAGTCCAGGTTTGGCTTGTAAGTCACAATCTTCCTGCCACAGCCTGAGTGGTCAGCTCACAGGGGAGTGCCACCACACCTGGCACCACTGCCACCTTTTTAAAGAAAATTTTTACAAACTTTATTGAGAATTTCATACATACATATAAGGTGTTTTGATCAAATCCATGCCCACTCCCTCCCATCCAAAATTCCCCCCTCTGAAGAGGTAACCCTAAAATCTTTTAAGGATTAGATGCAAGCTCCCAAATACTTTTGACATTTATGGCCTTGGAAGAGAGTATGTTGCTAACAGGCCCAAGGACATTTTGATTTCTAGCCAAGAAACTGCC